TCCTACATGAATTCATCTTTTCTCGTCGGCAGAAGCTCCCTTTGGGACCTGCATTTCAGAGAGCACTCGTGCACGGTACTCCTCGATGGAGATTCGTCCTGCCAGAGTCTTGGGTTTGGGGTTGCGGGGTCAGGGCGTTTACCTAAACCCTAAACCCTAAACCCCTAAACCCCTAAACCCCCAAGCCTTGTACCCGAACTGGGGTTGAGGGGTCAGGGCGTTTTGGCTTGAGCCCCCTTTTCCCGTCAGCATCACCGGTCTGCCTCTGGAAGCTCGTTTGGGTTATGGGTTTAGGGACCTCGGACCCGTTAGAGGCTCGTCTAGGGTTTAGGGTTCAGGGTTTAGGGTTCAGGGTTTAGGGTTCAGGGTTCAGGGTTCAGGGTTCAGGGTTCAGGGTTTCGGGTTTAGGGCTTAGGATTTAGGGTTTATGGGGTTCAGGGTATAGGGTGTAGGGTTTCATATATAACCTCGGTTTCATGTGTAACCTCCCAACTCTGCTGACTCCTAGCTTCTAGTCCTTGCCTTCTCGGCAGTAGCATCATTCACACCTTCAGAAAGTGCAAAACATTGACAAGTACGCGGGATTTGGTTGTAAATAGGATTGTAAATGAGATACCAGGCGGGCCTGAATAATTACCAATACTATTTACGGGGCTCCTTATTGTAAAAAATGGTATAATGTGCCCCCCAAGCCCTATTCTAATTATTAAGGCCCCTAATAATATTTCCAATGCATGCAGTTAACAGTTTTATAACCTTACTTGCTGAGTCCCCCGGAAACTACATACCAGTGGTCACCAAGCAGCGAACTCAACTCCCGCAATTTTTCCGAGAGCAGACTTAACCCTTAACTCTAGACTTGAAGCACTAAGCCTTAAACCCTAAACCCTAAACCCTAAACCCACAACGCCACATCCAGAAATCCTAAGCCCTAAGCGCTACGCTAAACCCTATAAACCTCAAGCCCTGAAATCCAGAACAAAGGCCTGCGGCCACCAGTTCTTCCAGAGATGATCCGTTGAGTTGCGACGCCGCCCCGGCGTCCTTCGAAAAGTCCGAAGGCTCGGCTTATTTCAGGAGCTCCGGCCAAGAATTAGGGTTTAGGGTTTATAGGTTTGGGATGTAGGCTTCAAAGCTTGGGGCTTAGAGATTATAATAGGGTCTCAAGCTTACAGCTTTACGAAGAAATAATGGAGCCACAGCAGCCTAGACGGGTTCAGCGCTTGAAGGTGTACAAGCGTCCGAAAACAGACACCCTCAAGGGCTAAACCCTAGACCCTATACCCTACAAACCCTCAACCCTAGCAGCTCTAAATCCTTAACCCTATACTCTTAACCCTAAACCCGAAACCAAGAATACCCTCAACCCTGATACCCTCAACCCTAGAGCCTGGGGTACCCGCCAGGCAAAAACCTGGGGTACTGTCCCCATGCAGTAAGAGTCTGTAGTAGAGCTACTATTAAGGGCCTTTATATATCTATTTTTAACCTAGGATTCCATAAGAAGGTTACTACGACGGGCCTTAAGTATCAATTTTAGGAATATGATTCAAGAGTTACTGAGTGGGGGCAGTATCAAGCCATCACTGCCAGCAAGTCGCCAGCTTGCTCCCCCAGTCTTGGCGAGGGAACACTCGCTTTGTAACTCAGCATCCAGGGCACGTCCCCCCCCCCCCCCCCCCCCAAACCCTAAACCCTATACCTTCAACCTAAACCCCCTAGGGCTTTAGGGTAGCAGGATTTTGGGTCTACTTACGGTGGTGTTGGGGGCTCAGGGCCCTAAGCCCTAAACCCTGGTTCCCGGTGATGAAAGGGTTGAGGGCTTAGGGTCTGCTGACGAAGTCGCACTCCTGCTAGGACGCAAAAAAGCAGAAGAAACAAACATGAGGGTAGTTTTCTAAATTAGGGTCCCTGTTTAGGTCCCCAAATATAGTACGGCACCCTTATGAAAAGGACCCGGAAGGGGCCCTAATTTAGAGAACTACCCATAAGGCGGTGAAGAACCTCTTGGACTGTTGGGTGTATCGCGTCAAAGCATGATTGTTATAGGTTTAGGGTTTAGGGTTTAGTCCTCGAAGGGGACCTCTTGAATAGAAGGGGCCTGCAAGCATGACAACACATCTTCAACTCTAGCCTCCAGCTGCAAGATTGTTTAGGGTTTAGGGTTTAGGGTTTAGGGTCCCCTTTCCTGCCCACAGCAAGCTTACAGGCAAGGGTTTAGGGCCTAGGGTTTAGGAAAGAGAACACGATTACACAGCCAGAGATTGCCGGGGTGAGGGTTCACGAGGTGAAGGGCCCTTGAAAAACCTGCTATTCAGGTGGCATCCTCATTCTGGGTTCCCTATAGAGTTCCGGAAAAATAAATCTTCTTCAAAACGAAGCCCCAAGACCCCAACTAAGATCGAAGCAGGGCGACGGCGCTTGCTTATCAAAGGGCGAAGGACCTCGGATCATTCATGTCCCCGAGACCCCAATACCCCAACTAAGGAGGAGACCTTAAACCATGGGGCTCGACGGGGCTTTGTCGGGTCTCTCAAGAAGAGCATAGAGGGTCCTTAGTCATGGAATATACCTTACACAAAAAGTGGGTGTACTCGAACTAGGGTTATAAACAAGGCAACTAGACTTATAACATTTTACGACCCCAATGAAGGTACTACAAAAGTCTCACTTACTATGTCCCCTGATCTTCCACATTACCCTTTATTCGGGGTTTTGATGGGGGTTCTGGAAGGGTTTCTATATAGGCCCGATATTCATGATGCTGCTGCGTCAAGTCTTGGGTTCAAGGACCCTCACAAATCCAAACCGAGAATCCTAGAACCTAGAACCCTGAAGCCTAAACCCTAAACCCTAAACCCTTACAAATCCAAACCGAGAATCCTAGAACCCTGAACCCCAGACCCTACACCATAACCGGACCGAAAGCTTAGCCATAGCCATATCTTCCTGGCAAAGCCCCTGAGCCATTAAACACCTAAACCCCAAACCCCCTAAACCCTATAAGCCCTATAATGCCCTATAAGCCCCAAAAACCCCGAAACTCCTGATTCGGGGTACCTGGGTGCCGCGCTGGAAACGATTCCTAGCCCAAGCCTCGATAGGCTTCGCTCAGGACCACTATTCTTCGGCCGAAAGGGCTCCGCATAGTGGCCTCGGAAGATCATACGGGGATTTCGGAAAATAAGGGACCCTAATGTAGCACCCTAAATAGTATATAGTACCCTAAGTATTTGGATCCTTATTAGGAGGACCCCAAATAAGGTACCCCTTATTATTGTCGCAAACTCCCATACTTCTAGGAGCCCTGTTGCTTGAAGGATCATGGAGCCAAGTAACGAGGGCTATAAAATGAGGTACCTATACAAATAATTACTTATAACCCCAATCAGGGTACTTATAACCTAACTTACTAACTCCCCTGATCCTCCAAGTAGGGTCCCTCTAAGGGTTCCTTTAAGGGTTCTACCAGGGTTTGGGGTTTGGGTTTAGGGTTTATGTGTAGTTCTCTGAATTAGGTTCCCTTTTTCGGGATGTTTTGTAAGGGTGCCACCCATGACGGGGCCTTCAAAACAAGCTAGGATAGGGTCTTGGGGTATGTTATGCTGTAGTTGTGTAATTAGGGGCGTAAAAAAGCTAGAAAAGGGTCTTGGGGTATTTCATGCTATGGTTATAAGGGGCTTCAGGGGAGGTTATTCCTATCTAATCTCGAGCCCTACATTAAACTCATGACATCTCGTTGTAAAAGTCTGTGGCATGTTCGTGCTGCATGCATGCCTGTACGGCTGGATGGATGGATGGACGGATGGATGGATGGACGGATGGACGGATGGACGGATGGACGGATGGACGGATGGACGGATGGATGGACCGACGAACGGACGGACGGACAGACACTGAATTTTCGCGTACAAGCGCTGCTCCATAACGCTATATAAGAAAATCTCTGTGATCAATAACCATATAAATGGATGAGGCCCAATGCTCCAATAGACTACAAAATAGCTATAATATATATTCTGCATTTGGAACATAAGATATTAGAAGCTTGCATTCATTCTCTAAAGTTTCCGAAAATTTTCGGTGTCTAAACTATTGAAAATTTAGAGAAGCGATGACATTGGGCCTAGCCCGAGACCACCGAAGAAGCCCCACCATCTTAAAGCTACAGCCCGAGCTTCCAAATTTTCCGGAAATTTTGGGTCCTAGGTAGGCCGAACCGATTCCAGTGCCGTAGTCGGTAAATTTCTCCAATATTTTGAAGCCTAAGCGCCCCGAAAAGCGTGCTGCACAGCATAGAGCTAATTTAGCCGTAGCGTTTTATAGAGTAGATATCATAGAATAAAAATATCCAAATTCAAAGTTCTTTCAAATATGAATATTCTAATTTAATCGAATCTAGCATCTTCAATATTATATATTTTAATTTTTGGAATATATTTCTAGAATCAATATTCTTTGTTTTATTTATATTTTCTATTTTTCTCTGAACAGAAAATCGTATGAATTTCTTAGCGATGAAATATATTGAAAAATATATATCTATATAAATATTTTCATAATAAATTCAAAAATTCCCCAAACTCATCACTTCCCCCGAAAGAGTCGAGGAGAATCCGACCACCTCATCGAATTCTATTTATATTATGTTAATCTAGATAGCCCATATGTATGCTCACAATTAGAAGTTTTTGACAAATTGATATTCATTAATAGCATCCATATTTCATCTAAATATTTTGGTTGGCACGCCCTATTTACAAGTGTGAGGCCGCAGATTTCAGGGCACAGGTGGTCAGACATCATTCCCTGGAGTAGGAAGCACCTGACAGGCATTCCGTCTCTCTCTCTCTCCCGCACACACACTGACGCCTCAAAGGATACCATGCATACTAATTCGGCAAAACGAGCCTTTTTCCATGTGGCGAGGCGCTTACTGTACAACACCAGCAGGCCAATTAATTTAATTCTTCCGCTTGAGATCCCGACGTCAAGAAAGCCTATACAAGAGCAAAATGATCCGGGACATCGGCGCTTCGGGGCTCACTGTCTGGTTGCTTTGCTTCTCGGAAAGTCTGGACAGTGCGATTGCAGTCCTCCTCAGAACGAAACTGGGCAGCTCATGAAAAGTGGCTTTCGTGCAGAAGTGCAGCCAAGCGTCGTCCAAGTGAAGAACAGCAGCCTGGTTGCCGAAAGTGGCATTCGAGCTCGAGAACACCTTAAGCAGCGGGGTCCCGTGAACGTTGCAGTCTCGTCTCGGTAGGTGACAGAGATCTTTGTTTGGAACAGGACTTTGGCAAGTTTGCCGTTGCAAACACAAAGTAAAGTCTGCCCGGGATGCTGCCACGGGACCGTAACGCAATGGCCCCCATGCAACTCCTCAAATCGAAGGCTACAAGAATTCAGGACCATTCTCTGAGGTCTCTACGAAGGCCTGGGACTTGATCGTCTTCAAGCCTTAAGTTCAAGTTCGTAAGCCCCAACCGATCCCAAATGATCCGAAGTTGGGGGCCACTCGATGATCGACATGCACCGGGGTTCTATATGGCCAGCTCAGCTTCACAGCGTCAGAGGGAAACAACCTGAAGCACGGAAACCTGGCAACGCTGCCTGAAGCTTGCACGAACCGACGGCCTGTGAAAAACAAAGACAAGTTCAAGCTGCCCATCCCTGTCAACAAGGCTCTGCGAAGCCGTCCACGACCAGCTGCTTCGATCTGATCATCAGCTCCAGGTTGTTAGCCTTGAGAAACTCGGTCGTGATGTCCTAGGCTGACGCAGCCGCGTCTGCAAAGGCACTTGAAGAGGTCACTGGCCGACTACTGAAGCTCCAGTGCTAAAGACAGCCGGCCAAAACGGAAAGCAAAGCTGGCACTAGGGCGCAGGCTTCGCCGAACCAATAGCCAGAACTCTTCGGCGCCAAAACCCAGCCTGATACGCGAGATGAGCTTCTCGGGAACTCGGGAACCAGCTTGCCAAGCACTGGAAACTCTACATCCTCAAGAGATGTCAGACCCTACAGGTACTTAAAGCATGAGGGGACACCACTGACCAGTCCACTGACCTGGGTCTGTGCAATCAAACTCCTCCCTTTCTGCAACGAGCCATCTAGAACCTAGCGACACCTGGCGTGTGGATAGCTGTTTCTTTTCAACAATGCGCGGCAACTGCTGGTAAGTCCAAACCTCCCCCCAGGCCTTCAACATGCTCCAGTGGGTCAGACCAGAGCATGTCTGCAATGGGACCTGCTTCTGAGCAGACGCAATTAGTTGCGTCGCACACGTGCCACCATTCATCAAAAGTCGTGAAGTCGTGCTTGCGCCCAACAACTGCAAGGTAGTGCAACATATCCCGAGCACGGCTCTGACGGTTGATGGGACAATGGTTCCATGCAGGGTTAGCGAGAAGGGCTGGAGGTCCAACCGTTTGCGTTGTTCAAAGCGGCCTCGATGTGAAGCTGTCACATGCACCCCGAGAGTCTTCCGGGAGGCTTTTCGCTGGTATGAGTCTATGGCACAGGCCTTCGTGTCCGTAGTCCCGGTGGCGATCGAGATGACGAAACCCCTCCAGTGTTTCCACTTCAGGAGCCAGGCCGGAATGGACGCAGAAGATTTTCTCCTCAATCAGGTGGTGCGAATTCTTTTCAGGAGCAGTTGAGATGCGGATCCCTCCACAAGCAAGGAGATGCATGTAACAAAGCCTGCAACAACATGGCGTGTGCACTCCACGTCTTTGTCCATGACTTGCAGCGGAGTGATGCATGGCCTCGCGCCTGGAAGAAGATGTTGTCCAAACTCACCCGTGGTCGCGGTCAGTTTCTGCGATTGACCGGCAAAAGACGATGTGCTCGTGAAAAATTTTGTCACTGCATCTTTCATCGAGCTGCTTCGTCATACCCATCACCGAATGCAATGGCACACATCCGCAATGCACGCCTTCGCTGTTTCGGCAGGCGATGTTGCACTTCCGTTTCTACTCTTGCTGCCTTGCACAACAAGCCTGCAGAGGCTTAGTATAAGCATGTACAAGTCAACTGACACGTCAGTTGAGTGCTAATCGTGTCGGCTGTTTGTTGCGTTTTAATGCAGGTTCAACATTCCGGTGTGCACATGGAGGCTATGACCAATGCCCCAAGAAGTGTCAAAAGTGTCACTCCGATCCAGTTGACGACTCACACTGGTGAACTGCCGCGATGTCATGCTCGAAGTTACCTCTGGTCCAAACCAACCACACCTCCGACCACTGAAACCGGGACATGGGTGAAGGTTTGCCCTGCTGTGATGGCACTCTGTGGGACAAGCACTTCCTGAAAGACGAATGGCCATCAGTGTCTGTGAATCAGGAAGAACATCGCTGTTGGACCATGACCAACCGAGTTCTGCCGTTTTTAATACAGCATACATGTTGTAGCAGCAAGGCTTACACAGACACGAAACTGACGATGCCACCTGCTTCAGGCCCAGATTCGTTCACAACAGCCGCGATCGGCATATGGTCAAAGCATTGGCCTCTGCTGGAGTACAGAATAACATGCATAATACATAACATATAATATATCTCACCTATATATAATATCTACTGTATAATGGGCATCTGAACAAACTACCATGACAAGCTTTCCGAGCTGGGCCTCCAACACCCTAAAAACCTAAAACGATGGTAGAAAATAAACACTTTCTTCATTGGGTCGAGTCTAGGTCAGAAGCATAATCCGAGTAGCAAGAAGACAATGATGAAACTACAATACTAATGATGACACCAACAAACAAGCGGCAGAAGGCTTCCCAAACTTCGGCACCGCCAGAGCGAAATTGACGCATGCATGCGTCGTGAAGGCCGTACACCTAACCGCAGCTTATGAGTTGTTCAATCAAGCAAGTCAGAAGCAAGCCCACATTGTTCCGGTTGTTAAGGATGAAGTTTGCTCCGACTGCGCTCCCAGAGACAACTGCTTCATTGGCGTGGCACAAGATGCACTTCAATGGGCCCACAAGCGAAGAGGAAGCTTGCTTCAGAAGGGCAAGCAAGTCTCAGGCCCCTTCCTGCGTCATCTGGCGCTGCTCGTGCCGGCCACGCAGCAGCGTTACCCGGGAAGGGAAGCGTGCCTTCAGGAGCAGCAGCAGAACCAGTGTGCCGCATGGATCCGGGCCTGGATGCAAGCCCATTGACTGATCATGATCCGCCATTCCTATCAAACCCTGAGATTTCTGCGTCATCTTCAAAGCCCCTGCTCTTGGCACCCACACCTGAGACTGCGTAGTCGCCCAGGAAGAGATAGCTAGTTTCGGGCACAGGGCCAGAGATCTCGAAGATGGTCAAGAGGTCCTGCAGCTCACCCCGGAGGGAGCCTACCACCACCACGGGAGCAGCAAGCGCCACGATGTTCTCCTCTCGCCGAAGATGCCTCTAGGACTCTAGGACGCACGAGCTCATATGGCATTACGTACGATCTCGCACGTGCTGCACCCATTGACGCCTCGCAGCGGCATTGCAGATTCTCTTGCACTCATCCTTTGTTGAGCTCCCACCCGACAGAAGCTTCGCCAATAGCTGGCTCTGCACCTCCATCTCTAGGAGTCGCTGCCGCTGACACAACCGTCGCTGATCCAGATGCTGCCCAGCTGAGGCGACCTAAAGCGAAGGAAGCTTTATTCCCCTTGCTGTCCCTGTCCACATGGTCCCAGAAAACATGGACGCTGCGGAAAGAGCCATCAGCTCTGCAAGACGAGCAGAGCGGCTCCAGTGCGACAACTGCATAGCGCATCTTGGAGAAAGCATTTCTGCAATATTTACCAGCACAATGCCTTGGAGCAAGAGACCTGCCGACGAAGACGCTCAAAAGCACTGAGCGACACCTACCTTTCAACCCCCGATCTCCCTCACGCGACCTTCGATCCCGCGCTGGGATTCGTCCATGGGCCCTTTGCAGGATCGCTCCTTCGTGCCACGCTGCATGGGAGTCTGTTGAGCCGTGCGGCTGAGCATGGGAGTCACTGCAACGTGCACACAGGCAAGCGAATGATGGGATCCGGCTGGGTGCACTCTCTGCCCCACGCTTCCTTTTTAGCTGCCGTGAGGCTGGGACATGGGCACTTCTAGCGGCAAACTCACTGCCCATTGCCAGCACGCCTTGAGCTCGTAGGCACAGCGAGAAGATCTTTCCTACAGCTTCTCTGCAAACTTATGCAGTATCATTATTTCTACGAGCGGAATGTGCAAGGCAAGTGCTTCACATTTCGTTGCAAGACGTCCTCATTGGACACCGCTGCACTTTTCAAGGATTGCCAATGCTACTTTTGGTGTAACCGGATTTGCCTGGCGAAACTACTTCTCGTGCATCGGTGTCTGACATTCATGATACTGCTGTGGACCTCCTCAATGCTCCTAGCTTTGGCCACAGCTCAGAAGGGCAAGCGGCGCGGATGAAAGATGGTCCCGCAGTAGGGGATGGGCCCATCTGGGCCCAGGGTGATCGCCCGAACGAGCGAAGCGATGACGATCAGCGCCGTGATATTCTTGGCCGTCATCTTGGCCTTGTCGTACCATGCCGGTTGATGCTCCTCCTGCATGTCTGCAAGGATGATGGCAAGGAGGAAGCCAGCAAGCATCCCGGCGAAGTGCCCAACGAAATCCACATTGGGAGAGATGGTGGACATCATGATGCAGCTTGTAACCATGAACGCGAACCACAAGAACACCCTGGAACGGCTCTCACCCAGCAGGTCCCATGTCAAGAGAACCTCTGCTGCCCAAACTCCCAGAAGCCCGAAGCCACTGGTCGACGCTCCCACCGCCAGCTTCATTGGGTCGACAGCTACGGAGATCAGGTTGCCAAGGAAGCCACAGAACATGTAGAGGAGGCAGAACTTCCGCCGCCCGAATTGCTTCTCCATCCCAAAGCCGATGCGCATCTGGAAGAAGAGGTTGAAGAAGATGTGCAGTGCATTTGCATGCAGCATCATCGGCAGCATCAGCCGCCAAACTGCTCCCTGAGCAATGGCTGGGCCCCAGGAGGCGCCCAGCAGGTACAACGAGCAAAGCTTCGGAGACCCGTAAGCGCTTCCGAGCAAGAGGGAGCCGATGTACTCCGTGATCTGCAGCATTGACACCCGCCAGATGAAGGTATCGGTATTGAAGTTCGGGAGCAAAGCATCAAGGAGGCTGAACTGCGGTGGCCCGGGCGGCGGTTGTGCTGGAATTAGGGCGTTTGTCCGGCCCTGTGTTGCAGCCGCAAGTGGAGGTGCTGGCGGTGCGAGTGATGGCGGTGGCGGCGTTGGGACCATCATGGCCATCTTCAGCAGCGCAGCCCCCGGCGCTAAGGCCGTGCTCGCGGCGGCTGCGCCAAGGCCGGCCGTCAGGCCCAGGGCGAGTGCAGCATCCTCGAAAGTGTACGAGGACTTCTCCGTGGAGCGGCAAGAGATGGTGCTGCACTGCAGAAACCCGCCTTAGTGCACCAACCGTGTCCCCCGACACACAGCCCAGAAGCCCTGAGAAACAACCGCGGACACGCACACGAAAACACAGTAAGGCCCGGAGAAAGCCGAGAGTCTTCTTTTGGCTGCCCTGGTGACTGACTTCGGCAAGCAAGGTACGAAGATGAAATGTTCCCAAGCCTCTTTTGAACGGCACATGGCTGGAGGCTACGAATGGAGCAGGCCTAGCTGTGACACGCCGAGAACAGTTGCACTGTGCACCAATCACGACAGTGCCATTTTTCGTGGTGCAAGAGTCTGAGGATGTACGTCAAAAGCACCCGGACCCGAAGTGACCTTGACATGTGTGATGCTTCGAGATCCGCCCACTCTCGCTGTGAACCTAACTCCTCGCATCGGGCACAGGTGAAAGAGAGCATGTCGCTGACTGAGAACCTGCTGCAACCCAGCCATGGGACAACTTTCATCGCTCACATGTCCACAGGACCCATGGTGGGCCTCGGCAGGTCCAGTGCCCAGCACGGACCTTCGAGGCTGAACCCGTGAGATCACCGGCAGCAGCTCTTCTTCCGATCCTACGACCTCCATGCCCGAACCCGCCTAGCCCGATCCCTAGCCCCATGCCAAGCAATCCTGGGTCTCTCCACTCGAAGCCTCGTTGGCGACACCTCGAAAGAGGCAGTCTATGCCCTGCCTGCTGAAGTCCTCGCCAAAGCCCGGGATGAACACCTCTGCAGTCACGGCGCCATGAGTCAGTCCTTCTTGTTTTCGGCTTAAAACTCCAGCTTCGCCCGAAGCCCTGCTCCAACTTAGGCCTAGCTCAATTCGGACGGGTTCTCCGAGCAAGTTCGCCTCAAGTCTGAGGTCCTATGCACCGAACCGAAACCAGGACATCCGCAGGGCCTCGATGCAGTCCCAGGTCATCTGCCTTGTGGATGGTTAGTTGTCTGGTCGCACAGCATGCGTTGAGACTCTGTCTTTTCTAAAACTGCACACCCAGTAAGAGGGCTGCCACCACACCGGTCGAGCGGCCGCGTCGCTCGGCTGCGCCGCCTGTGACAGTACGGACGCAGAGATCGTACTTCCAGGCTAAATGACAACACTATACCACAGTTTTCCTTACCCTACCCATTCTACAATAATCTGAACTGGCTCTGTCGGCACTGCCCATAGACACTGTAGGTGAGGTATGACACCCGTGTTGGAACAATCGAGCCTTCGGCGAAACGAAGCCAAGGACACTAGTGCTGACCTGGATACAAGCCAACGGGTGATTGAAGTCGCGTCCCGAGGCTGAGCCGTGTACAAAACGAGCCACACTCGTGTTGGCATAGACTTATTGCTGCCATGCCAGACCGTTTTGAGCTACCAGCAAGGACGCCCAACAGGTTTTTGAGGTTCTCGGTGGACACTTCCTGGCGACATCGCCGTGTTTGTGTGATAAGCCGCAGGGCAGCAAAGATCCGCACAACAAGCCGCAGATTCCAAAGCACAGCAGCTTCTCTTGCAACACTTACGGCATCTGCTGTGGCACTTGACCAAGGACAGCTCTTGGACAGGTGCGAAGAATTTGGGGTGCCTCTAACTCGGCATCGCGGTCGTCGGAACCGCGCTTTATAAACTGGAGCATCAGTCTCAGCACCATAAGCCTCGGATTTCTCACAGCCCAAAGCAGCATCACTGGTCATTCGGTCAAGCGCGGAAGCGTAGGCTGAGGTAGTGACCACAGCTGCCCGAAGCTTTCGTGCCTGCTTGCTCCAGAATGCCCGCTGCTTCTGACGTGACAGAACGGTCTCTAGGGCTCTGGGGATGCTCGGGCCGCACTCAAATAGGATGATATGTTGCAAGCACTGGGAATTCTAGAGTTCCAGGTTTGGTAGCCTTCGGGCAATCAGAATCCGACCTCTGCAGTGTCTGCAGATTCTGCAGGAAGAACTTGGACACAAGAGAGACCGCCTCTCGGACAACCTGAAGCCGGGCTCCGAGTTTCTCTCATCTTCAGAAGGATCAACTAAAACCTAAGTCAACCTTCTGGCAATCAACATCACGTACCGATACATGTAAAAGGTTAAACAAATAACTAAGAAACTAAGTAACTATAAAAGTATATATATATATATATATCAATGCAGACATATATATGTATACATATATATATATATATATTTATTTATTTATTTATATTTGTATGTATATATACGCATGCACACATAGAACTCTGTTCTGAGAAGCTGCCCGTAAGTCAGATTGTAGGCGCCGCACCGTCAATGGTGCCCCTGATGTGACGGGACCCGTCAGGACAGACACCTCATTGCTTGCCGCGCTCATCATTCTGGCACAGACTGGAACAAAAATCAATATTGCGTGGTACCTGTCAGGAATTCGGTTGTGGAGCCAGCTAGCCAACCAGACCGAATCGCTGCAATCCTAGCATCATTTAATGCTCAGTAGCCTTGGAGTGACACTTAGAAGTTGCCAGGCAAGGGTGATGTGAAGGTGCCGAGCATCAGACAAGCTTTTCGAGCACGGACCTGTCAACACCAATGTTGCAAGAAGTTGCAACCAGAACGTGCCGTGACGGATAGCTGGTACACTGCTTGTGGACGGCCTTCTGCAGCTTCACAAGAGAAAACTATCTAATCACGCTCTTCAAAATCGGGTGACACTGATCCCGAGCTGCCCGGCCAGCCTCGCCCAGAATGGCCCGTGATTTCCGGCGGCGAGAAGCGACCTTACTCCGTGGAACTCCCAGGAAGGAGCTTCAGGGGGTGCACAGCCTAGGAGACCTCAGAGATCCTCAGAGGTGCTCAGAAAGCTTCTGCGTCCCCGAGCAAGAAGCAGGCAGCACTACTTCGCACTGCTTCTGCTTAGAGCAACCGTAAAGCCTCTGACGGAACGCGGGCATGGAGCAGGGACTGCTTCCTCGGTCAATCAAGCGCAGATCATCTCACGAAAAAGCCGGTTCCCGCCAGAACAGGTTTCAAACACTTCCCGCCAAGGGTCAACAGCGGCAACACCTGGAGATCTGGTTCTTCTGCGTTGGGCCTGCCGACGGCGGGCCTGGGGCTGCTCACTCACATTTCCCCATGACGACTGCGGCAGAACCACTGATTTGGGACACGGCAGGGACGGTCGAGGTGGTCTCAGGAATTCTTACGGCGTTGCTGTTGCTGTTAACTTTGAATACTGGGTCCTCGCAGTCCTAGTAGTACTTTACGCAAGACTTTATTTACTATGCCCGGTATCACCATCGGAACTATCATTTTCATGACCACTCGCAACGTTGCTGCCTCCGCAATGTTCTAACTATTATGGCGAGTTTCTCCTCATCGTTCTACTTTCCTGCGTTATCCTGCATTGCTACAGCTGTTATTCGTGTAACTGTCACTACTTGCTGAGATTAAAAAGGCTAATTTGTTGCTGTCAGTGTACTAAATGCATTTTCCGGCTTGGTACCATGACAAGCTTCCATCCTGGGGATCGTGGGACTACCACGACGAACCATCAATGCAGCGAAAACCGCGACGACTGCGATGATAGCCGGTAATGCACGCACAAAGACAGAGACAGTGCTACACATGTACATACATACATACATACATACATACATACATACATACATACATACATTCATGCATGCATACATACATACATACATGCATACATGCATTTTTCATTCCACAGGCTGAGAGACCGTTGGTCGCGCCTATTGCAAGAAAATAAGTTCGAGTGAAACTAATCCACAGGGCTACTGATGCCAGCACTGGTCTGAACAAAGCCTACCGAAAGCAACCAAGTCGGCAGGGGCTTTATAGAAGTCAGCGCTCTGTACGAAACACGCGGTAACACCCTGGTAGAAAGCGCCTGCTGCACCATGAGCCCTACCACATCGCATGCTGCCTCTAGATAGGCAGCCTGGCGCTTTGCGCCCGCAAGAGGAGCGCCGCCGATAAACGGAAATCCAGACTCCGGGCAAGGTGGATCGTCGAGGTCAAAACACACCGCATACATGCATACGTGCATACGTGCATACATGCATACATGCATACATGCATACATGCATACATACATACATACATACATACATACATACATACATATTTAGTCCGAAAGACAGTGTGTTCTCTGGAAGCATTTACATATACACCTCTACGGTTGCAACAATGCATATTTACACATATAAATATATGCATGTATGCATGCTTGTACAAAGGTACGTGTGTATACATGCAGAGATGTATGCGTATATATATATATATATATGTGTGTGTGTGTGTGTGTAGATATGCACATGTGTATATAATGATATATGTGAACACACACATGCAGAAAGTCCGACTGCGCTTGTTAGTACTAAGGACAGATACACTCGTGTGTGCATACTTCAACAAATATGTACACCTATATAAATATGTAAATAAACAAACAACTACAAACATTGACTCCTACCATATCCAATCATGCTGGTAGTGTGAACTGCAAGCACTGCAAGCTGAGCTGTGCCCCGCACCCCACAAAGTTTATCATGGCGACAGCGACCCGTGACCTGGCTCGAGTGAAAGCACGCCAACAATTCTCAGAGATCCTGTGTTGTATGTGGGTAGTTCTCTAAATTAGGGTCCCCTTTTAGGTCCCCGGTATAGTACGGCACCCTTATACAAGGACCCTGAAAGGGGACCCTAGTTGTGAAAACCACCCATGTGTTGGGTATGGGGTGTCGGCTTTAGGATTATGGGCTTCCGATAGTGGGCCAACAGGCAACCGTTAAAGGATCGGAATCCTGCGGCGTGTTGGCAATGGATCTTCAAGCAAGACAAAAAAATTGGATTCGGGTTGTGTTCAATCCTTGCTGCTGCTCCTCCTGTACTACTACTGTCACTACCACTACCATGGCTGCTGTTACTACTACAGTACTACTACTACTACTACTACTACTACTACTACCACTACTAGTACTACTACTAGTACTACTACTACTACTACTACTACTACTACTACTAGTACTACTACTAGTACTACTACTACTACTACTACTACTACTACTACTACTACTCCCACCGCGACTGCTAATGACTGCCATCGCTACGACTACTGCTGCTGCCGGTGCTGCCGGTGCTGCTGGTGCTGCTGCTGCTGCTGCTGCTGCTGCTGCTGCTGCTGCTGCTGCTGCTGCTGCTGCTGCTGCTGCTGCTGCTAAGACTACGACTACGACTTCTACGGTCAATACAACGATTGCTTCTTTTGCGTATCCGAGGCGGCCGACAAATTTAAGCCAGCAGAGCCAGGCCGCGGCTTTCGAGGCGCGGCTGAGGTCCTCGGCGGAGGGTCCGCCCCAAGATTCTGACCACTTCGAGGCTTGCGAGAGGTAGCGTCAAGGGACTTTGGGGTTTGAGGCCGCTTCCAGTCCAGTCACACCTCAAGCCAAAACGCTTGTCCACACACGCTTCAGTTTTCGCAAGAGTCTCCCAGAGTCACGGGAACAAACGCCTAGCGCTGCGTCCACACCACAAGATTGGGGCTTGGTGCAGGATCCACGCTGCTCTGGTCTTCCGGAGCAGCTGAGTCGTGTGCTTGGCCAGTAGCAGAAGGGCCTGAGCGGATTCACCAAAACGAGTCCAGCGCATCTCATGGAAACGAACTCGAGGCTGAGCTGAGCATGCAAGAACAGAACAGACTTACTTTCCAAGTTGAGTGCACTGTTTCACATTACTTGCCTACAGTTCAAGCTGTACATGCAGGATTCTGCGATTCTTTGCACTGCTATACATGAGCATCAAGCCATGCTTCTGATGATTGTGAGGGTGCTGATGACGAAACTGAGGGTGATCGTGAGAGTGACCACGATTGAGATGGTGATGGTGGCAGTGCAAGCATGCGTGTTACTGTTGTTTCGTCTCGAGTATTGCCTACTCAACGTTGCTACTGCTTGGCTGTTTCTTGCTACTGCTAAGACCTTGTTACTCTCAAGCTATGTGTATGTGTATATACATATTATTTACATATTATTTTACATATATTTTACATATATTTTACATATAATTTACATATAATTTACATATAACTTACATATTATTTACATAGAATTTACATATTATTTACATAGACTTTACATATTATTTACATATATATATATATATATACGTATGCACAGCTATCATTGCTACTTTACACACAATGTACACTTGCACTCTCTTGTAAACAAGAACACAACAGCACATAATGCACGCGTATGCACAGCTATAAACATGACTACACTAAGGCTTCAGCAGTTTCAACATCCCTATTCGTCCGTATATTTTATACAGTACGGTACGTCCCTGTGCATAGGAATAGGACTGTCCATCATCATAGCCGGCTTAGCGAGTTTTGCAGAGGCCAGCACCCGTGACGTCCGCGGCTTCACTGAGGCAATCCTGCAAGAAGGGCTCGAGGTGAGATGAAGCATCGTTCTTATTAAGATGTCCGAAAAAGAAACAAGTCGCAAAGCCGTGGCGTTAACTCCAGCCCTCAATCCTCTCTGACTGTCCCTGTTCCGGCTCTCACATTTCCGCGGACTGGGAACTCTTCTCTGGGCTCCTCCTGGAGCTCACTCGGTTCATCCTGAATTCACAGACATGCCAAACCGGCCAAACCAGCACGGAAGACGTGTCATCATGAGTCTTCGATCCAGCAAGGTCCCTGGCTCTCCTCGGGTTTACGGTGTCATGTGACCCTCTGATGGACCCTCTGAAATGCCGAGCACCCAACTCGCGCGTACTCTGCTGCACTCACGGGACGAGCGAGGTTATGCAGGAGTGTCCTGATCAGGACGTTGGGTCTGCTGGACATTACCTACCATTCACCGGAACTACTGGCACCATGCAAAGCTCCTGCAAACCCTTGCACATTTCAGGCAGCCAGTGCGGCGACGTCTTGGATGCCGGCTTCAACAAGCTCGGTAACTTGGCTTCGTAACTGTCTGCGAGGCAAACACGAGACAGCACTTTCTTTGGGATCAAGGCACATAGGCGGGGACCCTCTTAAATATGAAGTTGGATGACTTGAATCCCCTACATGAACAACTACAGCATGAACCTCCGACCCAGGGGAGCACGAGCCGTGAAACTGAGAGGCTCCTGTAGGCATAGAGCAAGAGCCGGATGGATCCGGTACCCCGATTTCCTGCCATCTCCTGAGCCTCAGTGCGGTTCAGATACAAACATATATACATATGTATATATATATATATATATCATCTATAAGTGTTTGTATTGAAATGCTTCGTTTCGATCGACATAAAGTGTTGAAGTATTGCAAGCTTAAGTATCTATCGAGCTTCGGCACTTTGC